GACTTTCGGGTCAGTTTGCTCGTCCGACTCAAAGTCTTGAGCAATTTCATTGAGCAATGCGTCCTCTGTGACAGAGCTGCCCGGTTTTGGCGGGTCGCCGTTGGGCGGGAAATTGAGTGCCTCGGAATCTGACTGTTCAGGGTCTGAATCTCCGCTATCGCTCATTGTACTAGGTGCAGGAGGTTGTCTGCTCCTTTTCGGTGGTGTAGCATGGTCTGCTGGTGCGTCAGCTAAACGTTTCATTGCGTTTTCCATTGACAGCATGGTGGAACTCATTTGGGTCATGGCCGACAATACGTTAGCCAGCACTTTGTCTGTGCCCTGGTGCGAGCGATTCGCTGACTCATTTTCTTCAGAAAGTAAATTATCTTCTTCTGCCGGTGAAAGGGGGTCCCTTTCACTGATATTTTCGGCAGCCATACGGCGATTTTCTCGGTGTTCGCTCAACACTGAGCGAGCAAAACAACACACGTCCGACCTTCCCGAAGGATCGCACACAACTGATCTTCCCGGGCTCGTGCGCTTTCTCACGTGACTCCGTAGCGACCAATGACCAATGACGAAACAGAATCGTAGAGTGAATGACAATTTTTATATGAGGCTGTTAGGCAGAGCGGTTTTCTTGCCCAGATCACTTTGGGCGTCCTTATAAATGGCGCTATTAATATGGGTGTGGGGTGTGATACCCGACCTGATTAGATTATGACTAGGACAACTGCAGAACCTAGAAACACTACACATGAATGCACTTTTGTTGTAGACAAAGGACAAAATGCACCCTCCGCTTTTACTTTAACTACGAAAAATTAAGGTTTCTCAAACTAAAAAAAAATAAAACAGTGAACCGGAGAAGTGTCAGAGATTTTTATAATTGTTTCGGTTTTTTAAAAAAACTATTTTTGGCTTGAGTTGTTTTGATAAGATTTTATTTCATTTTCACTTGTTTACGTGACTGCAAAATATAACTGCAACTTTTGAGGCTTTTTGGAGGACTTTCAAATGTTAAAACAGCAAAGCAGTCGACGAGGGGCTGCCTTGTACCCAGGCGCTTTCTAGCGGGTTCGCGAGCGACTGGAGCGACTTTGGTTCCGCGTTAGGTATCATGGGAAAGGCGAGGAAAAAACATCTTTCCCAGCGTCCCTTGTGTCACTTGAGACGCCTAGGAACGAGGCAGGATGAGGCGGGAACCACAAATTCAAAGTGCGGGTGGCGATAGGCATTGACAAAATGCCCTCTTCCCTCCCCCATTGTTGATGGACGCAGGTGTCTTTAAAACATGTTTTACGGGCGTTGGAGTAATATTAGTATTTTACTTTATTATAGACAGAAGATGTATCCCTAGTAAAAAGAAACTCCCACACCAATGGATTTTGGTTATGTCATCGATAATATTGTTTCTCTTTGTTCCTCTTTAGACATTGCTACACACAGAGGTAAAGAATTCATTCTTAGCTTTATCGCTCAGCACATCAAGCTACCATCGGTACCATACGACCCAGGGAACAACACGCTTTACATCACGACCTTCGAAAACACCAAAGTCAACGTTCACGTTCCTGCTCTAAAAGGCCAACAAGGGGATCAGCAGTTCTCTGTGAGCGCTCTGGGCGTTAAAGTGGTCACTTTACCAGGAAAATTACGTTTTGGTGAATTAACTGGAAAGGGCACAAAGGGTATTCGAATCACAGCAAATAAACCGATATCCGTTTATGGATATGGATGGATTCTCCTAGGGTCGCAGCACATTGGTGAAGGCTTCCTTGGGTTACCTGTGGATGTACTCGGAAAGGAATACATTGTCCCAACGTACTCTCCTATAGGAAGCTCGATTGTGCAGGTTGTAGCTAAAGAAGACAATACCCAGGTGTCTTTTATGTTGCGCCTACCGAGGGGTGGAAGAGTTCATTATGAAGATAGATATTTGTATAGTGGAGACCTTATTAACACGACTCTAAATGATCTGGAAGTGTTTCAAGTTCAGGGCGATAGTGATCTCAGTGGAACAGTGGTGACATCATCCAAACCTGTTGCTGTATTTTCTGGGGATGACTGTACTATGGTGCCAGCTAGCACATTCCCGTGTAATCACCTTGTTGAGCAAATCCCTCCGGTAAGCTTTTGGGGTAAGGAGTTTATTACCAACCCAACACCTAATAATTCTGGTGGAGATGAATTTCATATCATTGCATCAAAAGATAACACAGACGTTAACGTGGACTGGCAGAAAAAAGAGACCCTTAACAAGGGGGATAAATACGAAATTTCTGTACCTTGGAATAAGACTTCGCTGATAACCACGTCTAATCCTAGTCTTGTTGTGCAATACACCAGCGGTGATGGCAGCTCGCCATCAATGAGTATTGTGCCCCCAACACAGTGCTCCTGGAATGACTACACAGTTTACGTTCCAGGCGTTGATGTATACGTAAATGTAATCATTGACACCGCTTCACGAAGCGGCCTTGGCGTTAAAGGCCCAGTAGCCAGTGGGTCATTTAAGTGGGAGACTCTTTCAAGGGAACGTTCCCTGGGTTCACTTCATTTAAACACAACTGGAGTTTATCATATTTATCATAATGACCTTCTTGTCAACTTTACATCCGTTATGTATGGCACTTTTTCCGTGGCGAGGTTCTCATTCCCAGCTGGCTTAAGGTGGGAGTTGCCCAATGACCAGAGATGTACAAATTCCACGATACATGGAGGTGATGGCATTGACAACGACTGCGATGGCATAACTGATGAAGAATTATTCAATGGCAAGGACGATGACAACGATGGTCAAATTGACGAAGATCTGGTCACAGCACGACCGAATGCTACATTTCCCAAGGATTACCTTTCACCGCCATTATTATCGTGTGATTCATCCTCAAATGTAGACGATCCTAAGCAAGCGGGATTTTCCCCAACTGTGGTCTCTACTTCGGCTCTGTGCTCTATACGTGGGGATGCAACAGTCCACCGTGACGACAAAACTGTCAAGTCTGGCCCTTGCTATCGTGAAATCGACCGAACATGGAAGGTCAAAGATGGTTGCGGTAATGAGATCAAGCATGTACAACATCTAGCTATTAGTTTTCCAAATGATCCAAAGTTGACTTTTCCACCGAATGTAACCCTCTTTTGTAGAGACAGGAAGTACCTGGATCCTACATTTACTGGTAAAGTTTTGGCGGAAGTTGATCGGTGTCTTAGAAATGTTACCATCTCCCCCCACAAGGATACGTTCTATGGAGAATGTTCCACCGAGAAAGCTAAAATAGAGCGAGTGTGGACAGTGATAGACAAATGTCGCGGTAACATCGTAAAGACTCAAGTGATCAAGCTGGTGCCTAAAGGTTAGTGCGAAATTATACAACAACAATCAATCAATCTTTATTAGTGCTCCGGGAAGAAAGGGAAGTAAACTGCATGTTTAAAATAAGCAAGATAGAAAGCACAGCCACTTAGAAATAGCAAATGCTAGAAAAATATTTACGTTTATATTAAATAAAGAAATACGTGCGTACACGGACATAAAGAAAAAAATACTAAGCAAGGGCTGTGTACATAATTGGCTGTAAATAAAGTACACCAAAGAACCAATCAGTGTTTAGAGCCATACATTCCAGTTATACCTTCTTCCAAGAGCGGCTTTTTGAAAAAAGAACGACCCTCAGATTTAAGATCCTCTGGAACAGAATTCCAAAGTTTAGCACTGCTACTATTACATTTTCGATAGTTGGTCCTAGTCTTAGTTTAAGACTTCTTAGAGGCTAGTCTGGTTTCATATTGATTTACTTTTCTTATTTTTGTTGGTCAACTGAGGCGTTTAATATCGCCGAGTATAGCCGAAGCTGTAAAGTAGAGAAACTCGTCGTGTGACTTGTTGGGCGGTATAATGGATGCTTACATATTGGGAACACTGGAGGGCGTGCCCGCTGATACAGTGACAGATCGGGGGGGGGGGG